AAATAGACTTGGTAAAAAGAATACCATCAATTGTAGGCAACCAAAATAGACAATCTACACCATGAGCTTCTGAATGAGGTGTGAATGAAGAACTTACAGCGTTCTAGGCAATAGATTCCCCCTTGAGAAGAGGATAGCGGAATCAGTAATTACCAAATATGTCGTTGTACTAATATGCTTAAGGATCAATCTTGTCTTCACTACCATTAAAAAATTGATAACTCACTAATTTTTATAAGAAAAAATCTATTTTTACATTTCTATCTTTTAGTTATCAAACAATTAACGGTGCTTTTTTTTTTATAACTTGTTCAATTAGCACTGATTATATTATTGTTAATGACATATGGAATGTTAGCGCATCCCAGATTGAAAGTTAAAAAATAAGGTCATCTTTGAGATATTATTGTATATTTCTCTAATCATTTTGATTATTTTAAATAACTATATAGACATTAAAGAACACTAATAAAATAATAGACTGAAAAATAGTGTACATGTGAGTCAAGAAAGTCCATTAGACAAAAAGAAAGGAATGTGTTTGGTTGTTGTGCAGTGGCTGAAAACTTTGAAGAGAACGGAAAAAAATTGCATCTTGGGCATTTTAGTCAAAGAAGAGCAAAGTTATCAATTTTTCTTTTTCTTCTTCTTATAGAGGACAGACATTTATTTCTTATTGTTGAGGAAGAACAAACATTTATTTCTTATTGCTTTTCCACTGGTGGAGGAACTTTTTTTTTTTTCCTTCTTCTTTTAAATACTTGAATATTCCATCTTTTATTGAGTTAAAAGCTACTTTTCTATATTAATTTTATCAGTTATTTTGTTTCTTCACGTGTTTATTTATTATTATTATTATAAGATGTCTTTTTGTGTTGCAATTATTATTATTTTTTTTTTTGGGTTATTGACTGCGCATTAAAAATTTAAACTTCAAAACATCTTAGACAATTTCTTTTGAAAACAGTAGTACGAGAAAGAAAATGAAGCTTCATCTCCAATAGAACGTAAACAAACATTTCTTGGTCGGCAACATTCACTTTGGAAAATTAAGTGGGCCTTTTAAATGGAAATGTATATGCATACATATTTACCTAAATCAAGTTGGACTTTTTAATATATTTTTCAAAAGGTGAGATAATATTGAGATGCTTCATAGTCTTTAAAAATTATTATCATTTTGAATGGAATGAAGTGTTTTTGTCAATCATCCAACGTTCAAAATACCTAACAAAGATTTATAATAAATATGTGTTGGGTTTTGGTAAAATATTGAAATTGAAGTTGTCCACATTGAAAGAATACAATGATGGTCTGTATGTGCTAGAAGTTGTCCCACAACAAGGAGGAGATATGTTCCAACTACTTTAAGCTCATGGACTTGGGTTTTAAACATCCCAACTGAAATACTTTAAGCCAGGTATACTAGCTCTAGATAACTTAGCGGTATTTGCTTTGAAAGAGTGTTTTGTGTAATTGGGGTCGGAGAGAGAAATCTGTGTGATTGTAATAATTTTTCACATAGTGGATTTTCCCTTGTGGGCCGTGGTTTTTTCTTCGGTTTGGAGATTTTCCAGGTTAATTCTTGTGTTTCTTTATTTTATTGCTTTCTTTAAATTTCTCGGTTATTTTTTGCTTGTTGATATGCTTATTGTATTACGGCGCCAAAAACTTGTAGCAGAAATTGCTTACTGCAAGTGTACGGGTGAAGCTTTAATAAAGTGGTAAGTCAATACCGATATCGTCCTCTGGATTGGGTTTCTAGATCACTCAAGTACCACACATACAATTGCTCAATTTTATTTAGAGAATCAAAATCAAATGAGAGAATATAATCAAAGAAAATAAAAATGCAATAATAAACATAAAAACAATGGGGAGAAATGTCCTAGGGAATTGATTTCACCTATTGAATCTATGAACCAACTACTTAATTAATCAAGATTGGACGAATTATTAATTATATAGGCCAAGAACTCTCAAATCTCAACTGCCCCTCCCGAGCGCAAGCTAATTCTCCTTACGAGTTAAGAAACCAATATTCCAATCTAGTTTCTATAACAAGTAAAGGCTTTATTGAACAAGTCTTTTAACGACCTCTAAAGGACTTCTAAATCTCCCGATCTTAAAACCCCTTTAGTTATGCATCCCAGTTCTAACTCTAAACCACCTCTCCCGAGCGTAAGATTTCAAGTCTAAAATCAATCAATCTATGGCCAGTAGATTCAAGGAATTAAGCATAGGAAAGCATAAATAGAACATTCATAAACATTCAACCAAGAAAACTAAACAATCAATGCATAAAGTTCAATGGCTACATCAATCCCCAAGATGAGAGGTCTAGCTTCTCATATTCAATGAAAAACAATAAAATCACAATGAGAAATCCATAACAAAACTAGAAAAATCAAGGGAAAGGAGAAGAAACTATGTTCGGCGTGTCAATCGTCCGTCCCCGAAGCGACCTCTACGATCCCGAGCCTTGAAAATCACTTTTTTAAACTCTCTAATGGTCTCCTTGCCCTCCAAATTGGCCAAAAAGGCAAACTGCCATAAAACCTCTTCAAAACTCCCCCCTTTCGACGGCTRCACAACCCTATTTTTATAAAAAGTTGTCTCGGCAGCGCTGTGACGCTATATACAGGGCCATGGCGCTACACTATTCACAAACGCGAAATTTAAACTTCGGAGCGCCGCGGCGCTATTTCCTCAGGTTTTTAGCTCCAAATCTTGTTGTTATTCCATCTTGGTCACTTTGATTCCGATTTTTCTCTCATTTTGATTCGAATATGTCTCGTTTCCTCCCGATGCTTTATTCCTGCAAAATATATCTTATGTGCTTAAATTTGTCCTGAAGAAACGAAAACTAACAAATAATTTCAATATAAATCTCATGAAATGTAGCTCACAAAGTGTGTTATCACTTCACATGAAGATTCGGCACTGGTAGTTAGAAATTGGAAGAAGAAGAAAGACTCCGTACAAAAGAAAGCTTGTTGCTGGGGATGCGGACAGTCTGGACACATGAAGAAAGATTGTCCCATGGTTCGTCAAAGGGCTTTGGGCGGGATGCTGACAATGTTTCTCTCATCAGGGGAGACGTTGATCAGTTCCTTTGAAGAGAGAGAGAATTCATCTTCATGGTATGTCCGCTTTACCATGATAGAAGATGTGATGTTAGCGGTTCCACAAATTTACACATGGGCATTGGCTTGGCGATTATGCAAGGTGTGTGTGGTGGAAGTTATGTTGATGGCTGAAGAACTTCCAAGTGAGCCAAGTAGGTGGAAGTYGCACCATAAATGTCAGTAGGATTTATTGACATGTGACGAGGAAGAAAAATCTTGGAATGCGACATTCCAACTGATCTACTTTTATGGTGGAGTAGGTTATAGTTCTCTGAATTGAGAATTATGATTGTCGGTGAAGACAATGAGTGCAGTAGAAGCTGTGAACTTTTTTTAATATCTTGCCAAGGTGGAATTTGTTGGGTTTTGACAAAATATTAGAATTGAAGTTGTCCACATTGAAGAATACAAATATGGTCTCCATGTGCTAGAAATTGTCCCACGTCGGAAAAGTACAAGGAGGAGATGTGTTCCAGCTACTATAAAAGGAGCTAATGGGCGTGGGTTTTAATCATCCCAATTGAAATATTTAAGCCAGGTATACTAGGTCTAGTTAACTGAATAGTATTTGCTTTGAAAGAGTGTTTTGGTTTGGAGTTTTTCCACGTTAATTCTTGTGTTTCTTTATTTTATTGCTTTCTTTAAATTTCTCATTTATTTTCTGCTTATTGATATGCTTGTTGTATTCATAGAATTTCAAAGTAAATTACATATTTTAGGTTAAAAAGCCTAAATCGCTAAAATCTTTATTTTCTTTTCCTTTCCGGCAAACATCCAAACAATAAATTTAATTTAATTCATTTCAAATTATTCTCGTTACAAACAAGATAACAAATTTAAAATCATTTATTTTTCGGATTTCAAATCACGAAATTTAAATGTATTTTTTAAACTTTCTTGACGTCAAACAGAAGGTCATGTCTTTCTTTCAATGAAAGTCTAGAGTCAATTTCCAGTTTTGGGTGCTTTTGGCCTTGTATTCTATAGACTTTAAAATTTGTTGTGACATATATTCAACCATTTACTATGGATGCTCAGAACTCAACTTCAATTAACTAAATATAATCAATTAAAAAATAATAATTAAAGATAACATTGGTTGAAAAAATGACACTCAAAATTAAGGAAAAGGTTGGTCCTTGTCCAACCACCCATTACATAAACGGTTGGTATTGTCATTTTTAGTATATTGATGATTAACAAGTATATAACATAGACTTTTATAAAAGCATTCAATTAAGAGAAATGATTTCTCCTTTGAAAAAAAGAATAAGATCATATACTTTTTTTAGTTGGATTCGAATCCAATCTCTTGCCCTATTTTTTCAATCCATTTCTTTCGTTTATGCTTCTCGTTCATGTAATCGGTGCGCTCATATTTTGGCAAAATGGAGGGCTTCCACACAGAACACGTGTACTTGGTTTTCTTCTTTTCCCTTTTGGCTTTTGGAAGTTGTATGGGTTGATTACCCATCAATTATTGCCCGAGTGGCTTCTTAATAAATCTCTCTTTTTTTTCAAACAAAAAAAAATAAAGAAAGAAAGAATAAGATATACTTGGTAAATGATTCACAGCAAATATTGTCAATTATTTATTGATTCTCAACTCAATAAGTTATTGTTTCTTTTAGGTGGGTTAACGAGTCAATAATTGAAATAAAATAGTTAATATTATTGATTGAAAACATACTCTAGGAATTTTTCATCCTGTTTTTTAGTACAACAAAAAGAGTGGGAATTTAAACAAGTAATCTCTTGGTCAGAGATGGAAACTTTTCATCGTGTTAATTACTATTGCTTTCGTTGAGACATTTTAAGACATGGTCGTGGTAATTATATAATATTATAAAAACAAAGACGTAGGGCATAATGCACATTTAACTATGAATTTTCTTTCATTAATTAGTTAACATCATGTCAATACAAGGCTTACACCTTGTACTGCCTTTAGTTGAGTGGAATTTATATTACATTCACAATAATATATAAGATAAAATCTAGCTTCTTTTTCCATGAGAAAATTAAAGCTTGATATCTAGAAGATAAAAATTAAAGAAAAAATGACTTGAAGATTTTGAAGATGACTCTAGGATTTGAAGATCTAAAGGGGAAATAGACGATATTTTTGGCCAGTAACTATGGTTGAGGAGGTGATCTCATCTCTGACAATTCTCTTGCTTCAGCTGGAAGAACTGCAGGTTGATTACTCTCTATATCAACAATATTCAGCTCTTTACTTTTACCCCATAATACACAGTAAAGGCTCGCCACCAACAAGATTGCACCAATAAGACTGCATATTCAAAACCAACAAAAATAATAATTTAGATTTATGGAATACGTAAATGGTTAATAACATCGATACGCCCTTGTACTCCGGTCATTCTTTATATATCATGGATCACCCTCTTTCTAACCAATGTATAGAACTTTGTTTGCACACCTTGCGACTCCAATAATTGATATGATAATATAAATTTAATAAGCTTATTCATGAAATATTATTATTCTTGCTAGGTTGCTCTCAGTTACTTTTTGTAACAATCTTGACTTTTTAACGCTGAAATGTTGTCATGAATAGTTCTTAAAGTTTGCAAGATCTTTTTGGATTTTTTTTTAGAAAAAACATGAGTTCTACACAAATGATCAAAAGAAAACAGACCTTCCCAAGTGAATGCCCTCGCCCAACATCAGCTCAGAACCTATAATGGTGACAATCACATTCAAGGGCGTGGTCATGGCTTGAAAAACTGGACCCTTTTCTTTGAGCACCCAACATTGCAAGAAATTGGAGACAACAGTTACGAGAATTCCCTGTTTTTTTAAAAGACAAGACCAAATTAGAAGACATATAGAATAATATGATCTTCATTATTCAAAAAGCCACGAAATTAATTATAAACTATACTTGAAAGTAGAGACAAAAGTTGGTGTGTTCTTACGCAGTAAAGGACAGCAATAAGCCTAATATTCCAGCTCAATTTCCACTCAGAAGGGTTCCTTTCCATTGCTATGGCGACCACGAAGGATTGGACCGTGCTCAACATTGTTTGGTGGCTTATGAACACGAGTGGTGAAGGATAAGTCTTGAGAAAATGAGCCTATAATTTCCCAAATTCAGAAAGTGCAAGTATGAGATTTCATGTCGCTTTAGGAACAGTGGAAATCAGTGCTTTTTAAGAAAAGCACTAATGTTTTGTTTTCCTTTTTATAACTTAAAACGGTTTCATACAATATTGCTCCAATTAGGGTATTGTTTAGTTGGTAAATTTTTAAATTATCAAGTCAGATCCCAACACTTCTAGAGTTGGTCTTATCTATTTTGTCCATATAGGATATTAAACAACTTTTAACCCTCTTATTCTTTCTCTTCTTCTTTTTAACACACAAATTATAGAAGAAGAAGAACCAAATTTGCTATTTAAAAAAACTAGAATATATGAATGAATATTCAACCTGAAGTACAAACCACAAGCCCCAAGAAATGCTGGAGACAAAGAGGAGGAAGCAGCCAATAATCCAAGTTTTTTGAGAAGAGGCATGAGCTTGGTGGGCTTGGCCTTTGTGATATTGAAAAAGGTGATGATTTATGAGAGGCTTCAAATAAGGGCCTTTGTAGAAAGCAAGTGTGGCCACTCCTCCAATGCAAACCAATATTCCAACACTTTTTGCCATTCCAGCCACTGTTCTCATGTTTACTTTCTCCATCCTATCATTAAGTTGAGTTGAAAGCAAAATTAAGTGAAATCCACAACACTTGAGATTGCAATTACCACCCCATTATGTGATAATATTTCAATTTTCATATAAAAAGAAAATTCAATCATTCTTCTGTACCTCAATATGAGAGCAAAAAGAAATGTTGTGACAGGGAGGCAATTAAATGCAGCAGCGCCCAAATTTGCAGACGTATAATCAACAGCCACACCATAGGCATTGAATCCAATAGTCATCCTGAATATTGGAAAAGTAATTCCATTAATATATCAATAATTTAGATTAGATATGAAAAAATGTTCGAACCCCAAAACAGACCCTATTAACGAAATCATGAAAATCTTCAAGAAATCCATAAGAGAAAGAGGCCGGATCTCTTTTCTGTCAAACAAACAGAAAAAAAGACGGTAAATATATATAAATTAATAGGGCTAACTCCACGAGAACAAGAAAAAAAAGTGAGAGAGAATTTTTGCCTTGCCTTTTTAAAAACATCATCATGGGGAGGAAAAAAACAGCTCCAGCAGCTTGCCTGTAGAAGACAAACACAAAGCTGTTCATGCCAGAAGCAAACGCAGCTTTGGAAAGAAGACTCATCCCAGCCAGAAAAATCTGAGTTAAAACTGCTACGAAATATGGTTTCTTTGAACCCATTTTTAAGAAGAAAAGCTCCATCAAGCTTTTGTTTCTTAGATATGAAGGAAACAGAAACAAAGAAAAAACTGAGAAATTAGCTGAGCTGTGTGAGGTTTTGAACAATTTATATATTAATAAGGAGAAACCAAATATTGACCCCAAAAAGTTTTATTAGTTGGGTCAAGCTTCGGAACTTGATCAGAATGGCTTTTTTGTTAGAGAAATTCCATGATATTCACGAATAAGGATTACCCTTTTGCAAGTGACCAAAATGTTGTGGAATAATTAGAAAGTGTATTCGTATAAATTAAAGTTAATGCTTAAATTATTTAATTTTATTTTTCTTTTGTTGGTACATTCTAAGTTGGATATATAGTGAATAATGGGACACGTTTTTCCACTTCTTGACGCACCAAATATGAGACATGATTAGGTGTATTGGATGACATCTATCATTCCTAGTTTTCCTTTATTTCTTTTCTTTTCTTTTTTTTTTTCAAACTTTTTTCCTTGGTTTCTTTTCTTTTAATTTGCGTCAAAGGGAGTGCATGGAACTGAAATATGAGAACTAAATTTAAAGTAGATGATAATTATTAAAGCTCACTCTCTTTTCATTTTTTCATTGCTAAAAGAGACACTAAAAACGAAAAAGAAAATACATGTATTTCATAGTTTTATATATCAAAGAAAACAAATAGAAAAGGAATTTTTTTTATATTTGTGAGTGTCCGGACCAACTTACACGCACTTCGATTAATCTCACGGACCAACCACCTGATCCTACAATATTTTGTGCCAAGAAACATAAAGAAATTACTAACTCCCAGAAAAAGAAACTTATAAGGTAATCGTAGAAAAACAAATTGTGAAACAAAAAGATAGTTAGAATAGAATATATATATATATATATATAAATAAGTGGATAGTGTAACAAATGTACAGAATTAGCCTTTATTTAGGAAAATTAGGAAGATTTCCATAATTTTGCTCCTCTGAAGATAAATTCCCTCTCCAAGAACAAAAGATTTCTCTCTCTTTCCCTTGCTGTGATTTAGTTAGCCTTCATTAAATATATGAATTAGATGCTTTTTTTGTTTATTTAGCTTTAGGCACAATTTAGAAAATTAGAAGTGTGAGTAGTCCAATTGTTGTCTTGCCTCAAGTGATTGAATCATAAGAGGTTGATGAACCAAACATCCACACTATAAATCACAATTATATTACATTATGATTACCCTAGTTTTCAAGTTAATTAAGCTTGTATTAGAATTTTGAGATAGATCAATATTGAAAAGCAAGGATGATAAATCACACCCAAAAAAGAAAAAACAGAGTTTGGTTATCAATTTAAAGCATGAATTACCATGTGAAGTTAAAAAAATTCTTTGTTATACTTTCACTAAACGCAATTTAGTCTAGAGTCATTTTTTAACATAACGATTTAGTGCTTTTAGTATGTAACTGTATAATTTTTATAGTTTAAAATTTATAACAATATAATTTAGTCTCTACCATGAAAAATTCCATTAAAATTAAGAGTCGATTTTCAATTAAAGCATGAGCTTTTTCTGTTATTGAAAAAGATGATGATTAATGAGAGGCTTTAAGGGCCTTTGTACCATAATATATTTTTTTGCCATTCAGAGAGCCACTCTTCTAAAGTTATATATTTTCTCCATTCTATCATTAAAGTTGAGTTGAAAGCAAATTAATGAAATCCATAAAAGTTGAGATCACATTAGCACCCTACCCTATCATTGGATAATACTACTTCACTTTTCATAAAATTGTTTTATCAGTCATTCTTCTGTACCTTAATATGAGAGCAAAAAGAAATGTTGTGACACCATAGACATTGAATCCAATAGTCATCTTGAATATTTGAAAAGTTTCCAAAATAAAAGAATTAAGAAACAACATCTCTATCCCATTAATTAGATCAATAATTTGGATTTGATCACATGAAAAAGTCTTCAAACCCAAAACAGACCCTATTAACGAAATCACGAAAAATCTTCAAAAAAATTCATAAGAGATAGCAGTGAGATCTCTTCTCTAGCAAAGTAGCAGAGAAAAAGATGGTAAGTATATTTAAATTAAAAGGGCTCCACTCCTTGCTTTTTTTTCCTCACAGTACTATTGATTACAATTATTTACATAGTAATAAAAATAATAAAATTGATATGCATTTGGTAATAATATAAAAAGATGAATTGAGCGAGAGATTTTTTTTATTTTTAGTACCTTCTCAAATAAATGCCTTCAGATGAGAGAAATTGGGAACGGGTAATTATAATGGTATTTCAATGCAATCAAGTGGAAGTTAAAAGCTCTGTTTTTTCTTCAATTAAATAAATAACACCCACACTAATCTCGTCACTCGGAAAAATTTATGGTACTACGGGAGTACCATATTCCCTTCCATAATTTACTGTTTGCCACATCAACAGTGTATTAAAAATTATGTAGGGTCCATTTCTTTGATTTATTACGTAAATAGAAGGGAATATGGTACTCTCGTAATACTAGATGGTTTTAGTTTTAAGTAAATAAATAACCGACATTTATAAACTTTGGATATTTGTGTTGTGTAGTTGAATTGCTTGCTTAGGGTTTAAACTTCCAAAAACCTCAGTTTTAAGTAAAAGTTTGTGCTGAAAATTAAATTAAATTAAATTGTATGACAATGATAGAGAAATTAAAAAACAAAGAATTCTTCTTAAAATTAACATAGAGATAGATCCTAATTTACTAGTCTAGACCTAAGTATTTTCTTTTGTAGAGTGGAGTTTTTTATTATTATTTTGGTTGCCTTATTTGATTATTTTTAAGATTTTAAATGTCGATGTCGATGGAAATGTCGAGATCTCAATTTCATGACAATGTCGATGGAAATATCGATAAATATTTTTGAAAAAATTATAAAAATTTTGTAAAAACTATTTAAATTAACAAATAAGTATTTCAGTATTCCTAAATAAGTTGAAAATAATTAATGTTGGCTTATGTCTATATTAGTGAGATTTTGTTCATATATATATTTTTATATTTTATCGATTACTGTGTAGTATTATAGAAATGTCTATTTACTACTTATGTTGATGTCGAACCCGTATCGTAGAAATGTAGATTGAAATGTAACATTTTTTTCCTCCCCAACCCAAAAAGGAAGGGAAAAAAAAGTCTTTTCCCATACTCCAAGTCCATGCCTATTAAATTAGAAATTGCGGCGGTATGATTCAAAAAGGATAAATAAATAAATAAAAATTGTGGGTGTAATTTTATATAGATAGCCGGCAAAATATTATTGTAAATGTTATGATAGAAAGGCGCTGATTTTCTTTTGGTAATTTTTCTTTGTATTGCAGTTTCTATATATGGCGGTGGATTTGGCGATTAAGGAGGGACTGTCCCTGGTGTTGGGTTTTAGTCCCAATTTCTGTGGAATCTGATTCGTGTATCTCGTTGCTGCTCCATGATGTGTTTGAGGTGGATGTGCTTCTTTCTTACCTTCGTCAAACGTTGCACTCATTCGTCTGCTTCGTTTTCGCTTCACTTTTCGGGAGGACAATGGTGCTGCTCACCAACTTGTCCAACTTGCCTTGTCATAGTAAATCGACAATGTTTGGATTGAAGAGGTGTCTATTATTATTTTTCGTAGTCATGCATATTGTTGTTTCAGTGCTTCTTAGTTCTTAGCTGTGTTTGTTTACTTTTCCTTCAAAATATATATATATATATATATATATATATATATTTCACACTATTTATTATCTAACTTTTTTTTTTAAATAAATTCACTATGTAACTTATTTTCCCTAATATCTCTTAAGCAGTCCTTATTATTCTTAAGAAAATAAGGATAAAAAATAATTTTGTCTCTAGATTTGAAAAGAATTCGGTCTATGAATTTTCAAAAGTAACAATCGAGTTGAGTATTGATTCAGAGGAAGAAGGTTAAAAAGAAGAAAATAGATGCAAAGAGCCAAGGTGGATGCGAGGTTCTTGGGTTTTGTGTAATTTTATTTTATTTGTCGAAGATTTTGTGTAAATTTTTGTTTAATGGTTAATGACTTTTTTGGGATGAGTTTAAAGACTCATTTGAATTTGTTTTAAATTGAACTAGTATTTATAACATCAAACCAATCATTAAAAAGAATGAGACTAGAATAATCAAGATCAGGACTTTTTTTTTTTCCTTCACAAACTAGCCTTCTTGCTTATTTTCAATAAAAAAATGTCACTGGGTAGTAGTTGGGCTTGGGCTGGCCCAAACACAAAGCATGTGCAGTTGCTTTTAACAAATAAAACAGAAACCTGGTTTATATTATATTATATGGTTTTGACATTACACATAATGTTTAATAAGTATTTATCACCCCCTTCAAAAATAAAATAAATAATTATTTATCATCATTTTTCATGCATCAATTAATTCCATGACTAACTTAGTATATGAGGCTCGGACAACTCAATAGTATATCTATATTTTATCACACTGTATAATTGGAAATTTGTAGTTGGATATATATTTCATTAGTAACCGAAATGCGATACAAAACGAGAAAATCTATTTTATAGCATAAAGGAAGCTAATCAACACAATGAATGATGAAATGTAGTTTATTTTAGACTAATGTGGATTTGACTTCGGTACGACATGTCGACTCTTCAGACTCCTTTTGTGGTGTAGATGGTTGGTTGGTCGGAGTAGTGACAAGCTCTTTGCTTTTTCCCCACAAGACACTGTAAAGACTCATCACCAGCAAAAATGCACCTATAATACTGTCCATCCAACGACACAAATAATTATAAACCGAGTAGTTAAGACGATATTAATGTCAGAGAGTTTTTTCAATTTAAAAATTAAAAAATAGATCTAATATTAATAATAATAAAAAAAGTTGATTAATTACCTTCCCAAGTAAATTCCTTCAGACAAGAGCAATTGGGAACCGATGATTGTAGCGATTAAATTCAAGGGCGTGGTCATGGCTTGAAAAACTGGACCCTTCTCTCTGATTACCCAACATTGCACATTATTTGCCACGCCAATTATCAGTATGCCCTGCCCCATCCAAATATATCAACTTAATAAATCCACTATTCAACATTTTTACAAATTCAACCACAACCTAACTCATAATAATACAAATATATATATATATTAATCCAAGATTTTTGCTAAATTACATCATATAAGAGATCTTACAGCAAGTTTTAAGTTTGATTTTTTTAGTACAACAAATATAGGACGGAGTGAATTGGAAAAGTTTTTCATATTTTGAAAACCCGATTTCTAAAATGAGAGAAGATACTTTTAAAAAGATTACCTCCGTATATATTAATTATAACAAACCCAAAAGTGGGGTTTGATTAAAATATGCGGCCGGATTGAGTATCAAAAGGAGATTCAAAGGAACAAAATCCAATGATTAAAAACATGAATAACTCTCCTATATCTATCTTTTAAGTAAAGTTAGCAATTCAGAGAGAAAAAAGAAAAGACAAGTGTATAGTTTTGTTTATTTGCAGCTTACACAATAGAGTACAGCAAAGAGTCTAACATTCCAGCCCAATTTCCACTCCAAAGGATCTCTTTCCATCACAATGGCCACAACGAACGACTGAACAGTGCTCATCACCGTTTGCATACACATGAACTCCATTGGGAAAGGGAACCCCTTCAAGAACCGAGCCTGCAGCCAAATTTCTCATCCTTTTTTATACTATTTTATCAAATAATATTGTTGTATTATTCTAAATTATTCCAAGTTATAGGATTATTATTATTTTACCTGGAGGACGAACCAAATTCCCCAAGAGATGCTGGTGAGAAGGAGGAAGAAACAACCGATCATCCAAGTTTTTTGGGAGGTTGAAGAGTGGTGGGGTTGGGTCTGGGCGTGGTGAAAAGGTGTGTGAGTGAATAGTGGTTTGAAGTAGGGGCCTTTGTAGAAAGCGAGGGTGGCCGCACCCACCATGCACACCATTATGCCCACCACCTTTGCCATCCCTGCTGCTTTCTTCACCTCCACCTTCTCCATCCTGTGTGTAAAACACAACTACTCATTGTTAGGAACGAGCTGACGAGAGACCCACGATCCTCTAATCGAAGATAAGTATTTTAACTAGTTGAGTTACAAGATCTCAAAATAGGTTAGTACTTCAAAGTCTCAAACACTTGTTACGTCTCAAATAGATACTTCTCTTTTGTTATTGATAAAGAGAATACATAAAGTGATTTGAATTCTTTGGTTTATGAAATTAAAGTAGTTCGAATTTTTTTTAAATGTAACGTATACCTCGAAAAGAAATTCAAATTTACTACTTTTTAGTCCAGAGATAAATACTTTAATTTATTGAATTATGTTATAATTAAAAATCATTCATAAAAATATGTATTATTTTAATCCCTCCTTAGTTTTTATATTTGCCGACATGAGTATAGTTAACGGTAATTTGTACCTAATCCTTCTTTTAAGATGGAGGTTCCAACTCTCGTACCCTAGTTGTTGTACTTGAAAAATAAAAATAAATAAATGTAGAATCCTCTAGTTTGACTTTCTCAACAAATCAAAAGTATAAAAAGTTAGGATAGATTTTTAAAAGGAAAAAAATGAAAAGAGAGGGAAATAAAATATAAAATCACAATTACTATTAATTTATCATAAATATTGATTTAAAAAGATGACCTTAGTAAGATGGCAAAGAAGAATGTTGTGACAGGAACGCAATTAAAGGCTGCAGCGCCGAGAGTTGCCGACGTATAATTAATGGCCACTCCATAAGCATCCAATGCAAGAGTGATCCTAAAATCCAATATGAAACATGCATTATCCTCAATTATATTCTTTAAATAATATAATGAAAAGTATCATAAGATTCACTACATAAAATAACAATAATAAGTAACACTGTTTTTTTTAGTGGTGGGTGATTAATTTGACTAAGTTGGTATCATCGTAGAATTTTCTTTTTCATATTATTGAAATTCCATTCTTCTGTTTTTCTTTTTCCTTCGTTTGAATTTGGAATAAAGAATTTAATACAAACCCTATCAATGAAATGACGAAAATCTGGCATAGATTCTTCAAAGACAACGGTCTCTTCTCCTTCCTGAAATCCAACCAAAAATGCAACCATCTATCAATTCATATATTTTTCAAAATAAACTTGGTTAAGAACTAGGTCTCATAGAATTCAATTTCCGTTCTCAACTCAAAAATATAAAATTGAGATACCCTTTTAAGATCATAGTGAGGGGGACCAAAACGAGGGTTCCAGCGGCCTGGCGATAGAAGAGGAAGACATAAGTGCTCATACCGGTGGCGAAGGCGGCCTTGGACATGAGGCTCATTCCGGCGAAGGTGATTTGGATGAAAAATGCAGCAATGTAAGGCTTTTTAGAACCCATTGCGAGTGACAATTTGGTGTCCATTTTGGGGGCCTTTAAATAAGAGCGAGAGGGGCTGCTAATTGGGAGAAAAGGGAGCTGAATAATGAACAAAAGAAAAGAAACACGAACACGAACACAAAGTATTGCACTTTATCTTTTACATTGGAAGTTCAGATGCATTTAGATCGTAATGCGATGTGTGACAGCAATGGTTGGCATTTAAAGTGCTTTATAGTTTATTCTGCAAAAGGATTTTGTTGCCCTTCTCTCTATTGCCAATTAGCTTCAAAATTCCTTCACTTGTGTAATTCTTTTGGTTTCTTTTCTCCCCACCCAAAACAGGTTCATCTTTAAAGCCACCTGTTTCCCCTACTACCCACTGTGCCAAAGATATTTATAAATTAAATTTTTAGTCTTTACAATCCTGTTTTATCAAATTTTATAGTGTTTATTATCAATTTTTAAAATATATTAATTATTCTCACAAACTTTGGATATGAATCCTTTATTATGTTCAAGTTGATCCCTCCTTTTTAATGACTTGGAATTGATATTGTGTGGTTTTGCCAGTTGTATCCCTATAACTGGGGTATCGAGGGGCATCCATCATTGTAATCGATATTGCAAGACTCGTCTCTGAATGGGAAAAGTCTCCACTGTGCGTCCTACGAGGCTCGAATTGGGGAGAGAGTATCCTCACTCGATCACAAACCCACTCACCATGCCACCTTCCCGTGGTATGCTCAAGTTGGTCATTGTAATCATTTCAGATGAGCTAGGCTCAAGTTGACGTTGTTGTAATGTTATGAGAGGTGCAATACTAAATCACCACGTATCTTGGAGACCAAACCCTAAAAATAGTAATAATATGATTCAATAAGGGAATTAACCATTTTGTTGCAACTTACAAGTAATGCCATAACTAATTACATTTTTAAAATAGAAAGCTGACTTCTTCCTTGTCATGCTCTAATTAATGTTTGTAGTAAAACCTCCATTTGATTTTCAATAACTTCAAATTTCAAACAATAATAAATTAACACAAGGGATAATTAGTTTTCATTTTTTTTAGGACACGATAATTAGTTGTTAGTGTTGGATTGTTTAAGTAGTGGTTTGGTAGGCCATTTAACTACACAGTGAGAGTGAGTCGTTGAAAATTTTGTGCTATTGAACCAAACCTAACTTCAATAGAACATTTAAGTGAATGTAAATAGCGTAGTTATCACTATTAAAAATCAATTGGTAATTAGAAGAGAAATCATTGTAAGGTCCCTTTTATTTTCAATGTGGAATCATTAACATGCCCTCTCAAGATCGTGGCTCTTTTCACTCATCGATCTTGGTCGGATCCCATTTTGGATCGGTTGCTCGTTTGAACGTTTTGGACTCTGATACCATATTAATATTCATGAGGTTTCATTTCAAAACCAATTGATAATTAGATGATCAATAACCTATGTTTATTATAAACCATTATAAGGTCCTTTTTATTTTCAATGTAGAATCATTAACAACGGCTAATCGAGAAAAATGAAAGTAAATGAGTTAGATTTTAATCCTAATTTTATGTTAACTTTTACTTAACTAATTTAAGGGTAGTTAATAAATAGAAAGATAAAAAAGGCACGACAGTTAATTTGTAATCTTGGACTTTATCGAATTAATTCACTAGTAACAAAGTTCAACCTACATACTCAAAAGGAAAAAAAAAAAATAATGTGCAACTTACATATAGCGTGTGTGATAGAATAGAATAGAATAGAGTTTTAAGAATTTGTTTAATCTTACACTCTTTTGTGTTAATGAACCTAATGATTAAATATGTGAAATGTCTATTTAGTTACTAGAAGACAATATCATATAGTAACTACAATCACACGTGTTTCTCTATAGAAATGTTACTTTTGACTTTACTTTGATAATGACTTAATTAAGGGTCTTAATATTTTTGTTTCTGATTTTCTATTTCTTGTTTCTTCTCCCTTCTTCTTTCTTTAATAAATAAAAACATAATTACATGGGATAATTGTTTCTTTTCTCGTTCCCTAAACTTTTTAAAATAAAAAAGTAAAGTTTTTATTCAAAATTTTTAATAATTTATGTTTTACAAAAAATAAAAACACCTAGAAACGAGATCAAAAGAAACAAGAAAACTTGATTTTGTTCTTTCCTTAAATTTGAAAAATCAAGAACGAAACTTTACCAAATGGGTCCTTAGCTTCTAATTTCTAGTTTATCTACCATTAGCTCAAGATCATCTCTTGCTTCCAACTAGTAACTAGTTCAATAATCTATTATGTCAATGGAATCATAGTTCAAGTATGAGTATCTCTCCTCTCATTTACGATATTATACTCTAAAAAAGTTACTACATCCGAGTTAAGGAATCTCATATAATGAATAGATAAGGGGTCCATATTCCTCTTATTAATAATTAATTTTGTTAGGGACCCGATCAATATTAAGACATTATACCCTAAATTATTGGTGAAATTTTATATAAAGCTGGTTGCTCTGTGACAATTTCATAACCCAAGGTTGGAAGTTGGGCAAATGCAACTCTTGGGGTGGGGGACTCATTCATCATGTATAGTATGTAGCTTTTTTGTAATATTCTTTTTCACACGATACGAATTATTAAACTTTGTGCCTTATTATTATTTATATTATTTATCAAAAAGGAGGTTTCCTACATGTCACTTTGTCTTGTTGTATTATAGAGTATGATTGGTACCATCTTGTTGGTTGCCAACCTTTACAGAGTTTTGTTTGGGAAAGAAGGATACGAGATTTTAGAAATAATTAAGATTATCAAGATTTACTTTCATAATTTATCAATAAAAATCAAAGTTAATGGCATAATGTCCAATAAAAATTATTACAATTAGATGCAGATACAATGTAACTATTAGAGGTGTGGCAAAGAGCAGAGCATTGAAGAATAACCAGTTTTTTCAACAATAAAGATTATTTGAGATGGACAACGTACACACGATATTAGTAATTTATATCTAAAAATATTGGAGGAGAGTCCATTTCAATGATAAAATTTACATTTATGTATCATTCATTTCACCATATTCTTCACAAATATAATTTTTAAGCTTATTAACAAATAAATGGTAGAGACTTATAAACTAGAGATGATGAATTCGAATCTTCCACCTGTTAATCTCCCACAAATAAAATTGTAGAAACTCAAATCCAAATTCGCCAATAATTTGTATAAGTCAAAATTTTGAGTAATTAGTGGGTTTTTTATTAGTTTATAAATATTAATATAACTCAAATCCAAATTGGCCAATAATTTGTCATAAGTCAAATTTTTGAGTTATTAGGGAGTTTTTTAATTAGTTTATAAATATTAATATAACTTTGATATATGTAAAAAGTTTTCCCTTTTGAACTTTTACTTCTAATTTTTGGAGATAAGGTCAACTATTATAAGTAAAAAAGAGTTTTGATGGGAAAGCCAATCCACATTCCATTGGAAACATGTTTTCAAAATGGAATTCCAAGTCAATTTTGGCCAACAAAAAATATAGAAAATAAATAAATTTTGGCCAACAAAAAGACAGATATTTTTGGAATGTTGTGCCTTATTCTTCATATCCCAATGAACAGAAATTTTCCACCTTTGCCTTTGAACTTCAATTAAATATCACCTTCATATTATTGCCTTTAATCTAATTATACTATATAGTTTCATTTTAAATCTAATAAACTATAATTAGAATTTAATTTAATTTTATTTGTTTTTCAAAAAACCAATGACATTCTTAATATTTTAATGTAGAACCTTTAAATAAAGTTCAATATTCGACATCCTTTGTTTATTAAAGTTAATATTTTATGGTTGTGACTTATTTAATTGAATTATTAGATATAGTTAAAATGGATAGTATCAGAAGTATTAGTTGGGTCAATTATTAAAGCTTAATTGTTTGGAAAATGTCTCTCAAGGATTTGAATCTTCTTAAGTTATAATAAAATACTTTAAATTTAAATTTAAGAAATCTCAAGATTTGAAGAGTAGAGATTTTATGTACCTACTTTTACACAATCTCATTATATTGATAAACTTTCATCTTTAAAGAATTAAGCCTTACTTTACTACTTTCTTTTTTAGTTTTAGTTTTACAAAAAAAAAATTGAAAAATCTTTACCAATTATATATGAAAATAATAATAATAATAATAATAAATCAATGAAACAAACATCATTTTCTTTTATTTTTCGAAACTATGTAGTTTACCTTAATTAGTAAATTCTTATAATCGGAACTCGTTTTTAGACGGAACAATTTATTAAACTTAACTTAGGTCAAGTAGATTACTTTAGACTAGATTGGATAGAGTTGGGCAAATGCAAGGAGAGAGAGAGGAAAAAAAAGGCATCAATTAAAACTCAACCAAATTCAAAGTAGATGGGCAAATGCAATTAATAGAGTGGAGGGGGGGGCTCTCCCCAATACATGGTATATACCTGATTTGTTGTTTTTCTTTTTCAAATGATTCCTACACCTTTGTGCCTTTCCTAATTTTTTTCCTTTTGTTAATGTCCAAATCATAGTTCGATTCTTCTACCTCTCATATTTATTTCCCATTAATTTCTCAAATTTCTAATATTTTATCCTAGTCGTTTTTTAGTCAGATTAATCTTACAGAACAACTACGTGACCTACTCATTTGGTTTTCAAGGAAATTAATAAAATATTAAATAATCTTAAGTAGGTGGTCGTTATGGTTTGAACTCATTCCTTGACCCATTTGGACCCATGGATCAGTCCAGAATTAGTTACTGTTTTGATTTACTTTGGTTATGATCTTTTACAACTCTAATAACTTTAGACTTAAAAATAAAGAGATTGGAGATGGAACGGTTGGCGAGTCTCATTATATGTATATTTTCAATGACTATGACATATATGTTTGGAATAGATTCTATTTTGAAAGGGGTGTTTCATCTAATGTTTTATGAGCTCAGTGTATTTATCATTTTAGTTCAAAATTATGCCATAAGGGTAAAGAAACCCCAAAAAGAAAGGCCAAGAAATTTATGAAAGAATAAATAGTTCACAGTGTTCAAGCACTGAATAGAATGAAGAAAGTTAAATGAATGAAGTGGGTTGCATCATGACTTTACAAGCCACTTCAATGTCTAGAGTTGCTTTCTTTCACTAATGGGTTTGATCTCATGATGTCCCAAAACTTATTCCTTTCTTTTATTTATTTTTTTATTTCCTAGTTGCTCAGTTAGATTCAAAGGAGGTAACAGTGAGAGAGTGAATGTTATTAATTAAAGGGCTT